TTGGCTTCGCGTCGGGGGTCATGAGTTCGATCCCCACAAGGAACAACTATTTGTGTGACCCACCTATAGTTGTTTTTTTTATCTTAATTTCCGGCGTTGATTCCTAATGATTGTTAATGATGATCTTTTTCTCGATATTGGCTCTTTCTTGAGATTGAGTTGCTTTTCTATCCCTGAAGTGATACACCCATTCTGTTCGATAGCATTTTCGACTTTTATCCCTCATAGGAATTCGATACATTTTCGAATTCTTATTTAAGTGTTACTTATCCTACCTACTTTCAAGTGTTATTTAATAATAAAGCAACGAGAGCTTATAAATATCCAAATGCAGGTTTCACCGCTGAGTACGTGATAAGTTAGCACTTAAAATTAGCAATTTCATATTAGAATTATTTACTGTAGTATTTATTATATAGCATATCAAGTGAGGCTAAGTTAAGTTCACACGTGAACCGTCGTTTAGGTTGGTTACCGTATGTTACTTATTCACGACTGCTATTGTATATATATACTCTACCATCTCCATAGAGGTGTTCGTTTACCCCTATCATTGTCTAAAATATTGTTGGAGTCATACTTTTTTGGCGCGTACTCGTACTTAAACTTATTTCACGGTATTACCAGGGCAACTAATAACAACTTTTTGACATTTACCTATAATTTTGTCAATTGCATTTAATGTCTTTTTCATAAACAAATAATACATGCACATAACTTCTTACGTGCGTGTTTTTGTTCAATACTTTTCTGATTAATTATGTAAATAGTTCATACATGCTGAACTGGAAATATGTGGCTTGCAGTATGCAAGCCACATATTTCCAGTTCAGCGACAAACGACGATTTTTTTCCTTTTAGAACAGAATAGCAACAGCTCATCTAAAAGCCTTTGCGTAGTGTTTTGTCAAATGAAAAATAATGACATTTTATAGACTCAAAACTAAAATTAAAACTTATTGTCTTACTCTGCAGACCATAAATATAGACATCTTTAATTCACAGGAACGAGATCTGCTTTAATGCGATCCTTAAGGAGTAAATTTCTTTGATGTTAATGCATTAAATTAAATGACAACTAAACACATAATAATAGACCTTTGTCTAATTCATGCAGCTTAAAATGTGTTATGTGAGCGAAGAGTATTTTTGAGATATGAAGTAAATTAAAAGTTAATTTCCAATAATGCATGTTGATTCGTAATATTTAATGTAATCTTCGATGCATAAAATGTTCCAATACCCAATTGAATGATACTGAGATAACAAAAAACCGGTCAAGTGAGAGTCGAACTCGTACGCCGAGGGTTACATACCTACCCATTATGCCGCCGTAATAATCTCTCAATTTTCTTAGGAATGGGTGGACCTAGCAAGTTGAAATTAATACTAGATATTAAGGTCTATAGTCCCCTAAAAATCAAGGTGCGGAGTTAACACGGTAAAAAGATTTGGGCAAATTTAGATTTTCGCGAAAACTTGTAAGTACAAAATTTTTACCTTGATTTTTAACTTTTTTTATTTTACGGGATTTTTCCTTTATTTGTGCTGAAAGAGCTTTTTCCCAAATTTTGGTGGTTACAAGTTTTAGCGAAAATCTAAATTTGCCCATGTCTTTCTCGCGATGTCGCATAACATTGATTTTTATACACTTAATAGGGTCTATGGACCTCAGTATCTGGTATAAATTTCAACTTGCTGGACTACCCGTTCCTGAGAAAGTCGGTGGTGATACACGGACAGAAAGAGGGTGATCATGCAAGGGTTTTTTGCCTTTTAAGGTCCGGAACCCTAAAAATATATCAGATATCCAATCGAATTACCCGAAGTGGATAACAAAAAATATAATTATATTGTTTTTCTTTCGCAATTCAATATGAAGGTTGTTAATGTATACATATAAGATTGAGTGTATAATAATACTTTTCTACCACACTTTTAGTGCTTATGGGGACTTTTTTATTGAGGATCACGAAGATAAACAGCTTCGACTACGGAGAAGCTAAGATCACCACAGACAGAAATCATCATCCTTTCACATGATAGAATGACAATCGACACAATGTTGCAAGAGATCGGGATTGAAAGGGGCGCGAGACAATTGGCTAGATAGAAATAATCGACTTCGGCGAAAAAAGATCCACTTTACAACTTTTGAAAGAGATATTAATTTTATCATCGGCCGATACTTATATTCAAAGAACTGATATTATTTTGAGTTTAAATTCCAAGTTTGCTAGTATTTTCAAACGAGCTCATGATATTGTTTACATGAAAACATGGCGCAATCGATAAACAGACAGTGTAGCCGGAAGATAACACTGTAATCTTATTCAGGAAGGTGCTGTCTTTGAGGATCAAGTTTTAAATATTAGATACACGAGTTTCAAATAACATGTCTCTATTTATAATGGCGTATATAATTTTCTTTTCTCATTTATAATATATATAAAAAGTAAAAAATTCCAGTTACTTTGTTTCATACTTTTAGTATCCAACAATTTTTTGTCGCTCGATTGAGACCAATGGTTTTCAGTACATATCGCAAATATTATACATACATGTGTATAATATTTTGAAACTGGTTTGTATTGATTCTATAATCGTTATCCACGCATAAATAAATATTAACATTAGCGTGGGATGTGTTTAAAGTCTTACTTAACGGCGGACTTTGGGTGCACTCATATAAAAATGACTCATTTATATTTAATATTTTATTTTACTTAAGTTAAAATAGGCGTTGTTTTTATTGTTGCATATGTAAGAATAATTTTTAAGTCTTTTCCCAATTAAATTGTATTCGCTTGGAAAGAAACTCTTAATCATGTCTCGTGTTTTCTAGAATTCCACCTTACTAAGAAACAAGCAAATCGTTACGCTATCGTTGTAAAACACATATAATAATTATAAAATATTTAACGCAATAAACATATAATTTGAATTTCATTAATAAACCACTGCAGTAAGCTGACAGGTTATGGTGTCACTTTGTAAAGTAATTTTGCCATACATATTGCATTAGTGATGATCAAGGTCAGTAGTGATTAGCTGATTTGAATTTTTAGTCTGTCTCGGTTTCACGTCAAAACTACTGAACCGATTTAAATGAAATTTGGTATAGAGCTAGAGCCTGCGAAAAGACATAGGCTATTTTTTATTGGAATAAAGAGTTTTAAAGGGTTGAAAGATATTTATTTAAGAGCTTCAACGCGAGCGAAGCCGCGGGCCAAAAGCTAGATGTATATAAATTATAGCCCATGTTTTATTCTGATGTAAAAGCTATATTATTGTAAAGTTTCATTAAAATACATTCAGTAGTATTTGCGTGAAAGAGTAACAAACATCTATCCATACATACAAACTTTCGCATTTATAATATTAGTAGGGATATGGGTTTGGCCAAATCAAAAACCTAATTCAGTTGGTTTTGCCAAATCAAAAACCTATCTTTTGTGGTATAAATAATGAACCTTATCACTCCCCGAATATTTCTTTCTACGATGTGTTGGATTAGGAAAAGACTGAAGGACTTGTTGAAGTAGCGTAAATATTCAGTTTAAAGATATCATCTGAAAGGTCATTGACATCTTACTGTACGTAAACTCAATCTTTGTATCTTGTAATAACTGATGTTCACGCTTTCAATCCCGAGACTATCAAAGCTTCATCGAACGGAGAACCGGTGGGCTAGCCAGAACCCACGGGTTTGAGGCCCTCCACAGTGGATAGGGCCGCACATGTGCGCATGTGCGTTAGCTAAGGAGTGTCGTATACGGGCCATCGAGGTTCGGTGCGGACCGTGACCCCGATAGCCTTGACTGTGTTTGGCTAGTCGGTAGCCTGGGCCAGGAACCACCCTGGAACGCGGGTGTACCTAGTACGTAGTAGGGTGTACGCGTTGTGTTGGTTTCGCCGTCCTCGAAGACGAGGACGAACTATGGTGCTTACTGTTGCACTAACTACTAAACTGTGTGTTTAGTGTTATCTGGCGGGACCCCCGACGGTGGGTCCGAACGTACTTAGGTCCCCTTCCTCGACCGTCGACGAGGACGCTCACGTTAGTTTTGGGTTGGTCATTTGCTGCGCTTACCACCGGAGGGCTGGGAGTTTGGCTCTATCGAAGAACCGTTTGGTTTCTTCGAAATGTTCACGAATCTTTGAGAGTCTACAGTCACTGACATCGACCTGACGTTGCGTTGATACCACTGCGCACCGGTTGCGCGGCGGATAAACTTATTAACTTAATCCTATTGAGGTGGCTTGGTCGCAGGCGAAAGGATGTGTTGTCAAAAAAACAAAAATCTTTAAAATATTAAAGTCAATTTTTTTTAAAAGGACTTGAGCAGGGACTGCTGAAAGATGGAAGTAAGTAGCGTTTGTTATATAATAAAGGCAAAAGTATATTCTCTACCAAGTTAAAATCACTATACCAGAACGTTTTATAGTAAGTGTAACAGACAGCGATAGGGAAATATCTGAAGACAAAATATAAAAGCAAAGAAACAATGTTGTTGTTCAATTTGTTGTCGAACTTCACTTGTTTGTTGTTTGTTGAAGACAAACACTTGGGCACTAATATCTCCCTCGCAGTTGATTGTAAATTGTAGATTGGCCGCGGTGACCAAATTTTTGATGATAAAGAAATAAACATAGTTATAAATGATGAGTTTTTATAAAGGCGTTATAGTTTTTAATAGTATAAATGTTAAAATTTCATGAACAGAATTTTTAAGATTCATTTTAAACACTGAAATTTGTTTTTAATCTCGCAGTATATGCTGACAAACTTGGTCTACTCTAGTTTTGTTTTCATCGTAACTGTTAAACCCGTAAACTTCAGTCAACTCCAGTGGATTATTAACTCAACTCTAGAACATAACATGAAGAATTAAATAAAAATTGTGACATTAATAATCCTTATAAGAAGTTTCGTTGGAAATATTTTATACATTGGTCACTGGTGTTCTCATGTTTAAACTTAAACAGTATTTGTATCATGCTACAGAAGACGGAACCCTTTTTCTAGGTTCTATCTGAACGCGGAAGCCATCAGTTCTCTTCAGAATGATGTCAGCCTGGAGCCGGTACTGGTCTTCGGTGATGTCTGACACCATTTTGTAGTTTCGCAAAATAGTGGATAGTAGAACTTTCAACTTCAGAATAGCATACTTGCGGCCTGCGAAGGAAAAATAGTTTACCCTAAGCTTTTTTGGCAAGTATAAATGATTTTTGGTCTATTATATGCTTTTTCATATCTATGAGTATCACGTCATATAAAATTGGAAGGTGGACGTTCAATTAGCCTATTGTACAAACTGAGAATATGGAATAAATTATTTCTTTGCTTACTCACCAACGCAACTTCTTGGCCCGGCACTGAAGGGAATATAGCTGTAGTAATGTCTGTTTTGCGTATTTTCCGGGAGGAAGTTGTCTGGGTCAAACACGTCGGGGTTCTTGTAGTATTTGGGGTTCCGGTGAATTTTGTATGTTCCAATAACAACTGTTGCACCAGCGGGAAGAACGTAATTGTTTGTAGCTAAAATTAGAATTCATTGAGTGTATTTACTCGCTTACTACGTTCACTTATTAAGTGCCTAGCGGCGAAGAAAGTATCTGAATATTTTCGAAATAATGACAAAACATATTTCGAAGACTATGTTCTCTTTACAGAGGAGGCCTTTGCCTAAGTTACCAGTTTGCCCAGTTAATAATTTGCTCTTTTACCGTACCCTCAACCCTTTCGCACTGGTCATTGTTTCGTCTGTAACGGGGTTGCCTAGTAGAAATCGCTTCTAAGCGATAAGCTAATTGTGGTGTACAATAAAACATATTTAATTCATTCATTCCCTAAGTAAGGAATAACAGCGATTGCTATGGATATGGAGCTAACTCTAGAAGTGTTGAAGTAAGAGCTCAAATAAGATTGGATAAAACCTTTATAGTTACACAATGAAATTCACAAATCTTTATATATATAATTCTTCTGTAAGTGTAATGTCACTGAACTCCTCCTAAACGGCTGGACCGATTTTAATGAAATTTTGCGTGTCCTCAGGTCGATTCGAGAATGGTTTAGATTCACAATTCCGGCCACATTATTTTGAATTTTTTTATTTATAAGTTGTTTTTGGATTTCAGTAGTGTTTACAGGATAACGTCTGTCGGGTCCGCTACTATAAGTATAAAGTCATATATGTTACAAAACTTTTATGAGTCATATAACATATTCATGACTAAGCATAGCGTTCATTAGGTTTTGTACTAAACGCAGATCGTTAACCACGTACTGTGATGCCCTAAAGAATGTGGTAATAGTGTAGAATATGTTACGCACCATTTTAATTTCATGACCCAATTACATTTTCCTATTATATTGACTAAAATCTATGATTAACATGTTAACAATGCTATATTAATCCCTTAATATAAAAAAAATAGCTGACGGTCTGAATGAAATGATACGAAACTGTTTAATTAATGAAATGTTCAAATATATGAGCTTTAAAAATCATGACTAAATTGTGCTCATATTAAATCAACAAAAATATATTTTTGTATTATGAAAAATAGCAGTCTCAATCGATTGATTTATTAAGACCATCATTATTCATCAGATGTATTTATAGCACAATGAATTTAAAACACCAACATAAAAATGTCACACGTCAAACGATTTAAGTTTTAAAATGGCTTTAAGAGAAGCGTTTGATTATTGCAAGGATCTTCCTAAAATATTGGCTGAAGCTTAAAGATTCGATACCAAAGGACGGTCATGTCATTGTTTGACTTAGGATTCTGCAAACATCAACTGGTTTAAAAATTTTAATTTAATGTATTTAAACGGATTTTATTTTTCATTTTATTTCCAGCGTTTATTGTCACGGGACAGACTCAGGGTTCTAAACCTCGGAAAGTAAAACTCAAAATTACAGCGCTATAAAATCCGGTAAACTAGTTTCAATTAATATGTTTAATATTCGCGTAAAATATTATATATCTATATTTAAAAAAAAAAAAACTTTTCAATCATTTATTTGCTTTTGTTATTTATAGATTGAAAATGTTTATCGAGTTATTCTTTTAATGCCAGAGGGTGGCAATTCAGCTGGTGGTTCACCTGATTTTATGTGATAACCGCCACTCATTGACTTCTGAACACCCGTAATGCAACCTGCATGTGCCACATTTTAATAAAGTGGGCCCGTTACCTCAATCTCGTAACGAAACGCAAAAGTATAACACTGCATCTTCAGGTACTTTCCAGGAAGAGCCTAACCATTAGTGTAACAGCAATGACTGCTGCGTGGCTACCTCAGTTTATATCAATAGCTTGTTATTTGTTCCATTTAACTATATCTGTCTTGACGTCAGTCGCGTATAGGAAACAATATGCGTTAAGGTCAATAACGATGACTTGTTGTTTACGAATTTGTAAGTAATTATACAATTCATTAATGAAGCGTAAGTGAATTAATGTCTTGGTTTTCTTACTTACCTATTTTCACGTCCCGTTTTAATTTTCTTGCGATAATGGGAACGGGTGGATACATACGCAGGGATTCGAAAATCACTCTTTCTAGGTATTTCATGTGTAAGGTGTCCTCAAATGTGACCGGTCGGTCGGAATCGCCGAAGATCTCGTAAAGTTCGTCGTAAACCTTCGCTTGAATGGTCTGGTGGACGCCGAGAAGACATAACACGAAGCTGGAGCCAGCAGCAGTGGTGTCATGGCCCTAAAAAATGCATATGAGGTTTCCTACAGTTTCCATTTGCTAAAAGAACTTTTGATAAGCCCGTGGTTTATTTTCTTTGACATAAAATATTTTTTTTTACATAAGCCTTTTATTTTAAGAAGGAGGAATTATAGGAGAGTATGAAGGCGTCTAATAATATAATTTCACTACATAGTATAATTTCACCGGAACTGAACACATAATTCATATATAATTCGTTTACGGTAACCGTTTAAGGTAAAATTGAATTTAAAAAAAAATACGTGGAGCCTAATCACGGCTATCTTAGGTTAGATTTCTAATAAAACTATGTTAAAAGAAATGATGCGGAGTGCGGGTTTTCTATTTTCGTAGTTATTTTTCTTTCATACAATACAAGTAACGTATAAATATATATACCTCGAACATAATAGTGTCAACTTCTTCCTTTATTTCAAAATCAGTAATCTTATTGGTACCGTTTTGTGCGGACTCAATCATCAGGTCCAGGAACGCCAAACGTTTTTTCTCACCTGCGGGAAAAAGAAATATTATTTAAAATTAAACAGTAAATTTTTGATGTATTTTTTGTATTTTTTTTCTCCCTGATATTTTTTCATTAATCTAAGAATGCTCGAAATCTTAATTGGATATTGGCAATAAATGAAAATTCATGTAAAAAGTAAATTCATTTTCCCGTCTTAGATTGCCATTCTGATTTCATACGTATTGGTATATATTCGTATACAACATTTAAGATTACTTCGTGTATGTAATAGATCAGAATTATTTTTAAAGATATATCGTAGTGATTATGCAGTTCTTCTGATATAAAATTTATACCGACGCCCATTGTCATTTAAAACATCAAATGATGAATTCATACAACAGCTCAGTTTTGTGCTCACCCACGTCATTTTCGTCGTTAAAATCCAAGTCGTCGCGATATCCTTTGAAAACTGTATCGGCTAGAGTTTGAGCATTTGCTAAATTCGAATCATTCGGATCGGTTGAACGTGTCAGTTCCTCAATAGTCGGTGGTATTATCCCCTTAGCTTTATTTTGTATGTAAATCTCCTTTTTGTTCTTTATCACCTGTGAAATATCGATTTACATGTTAATGATTACTTCCAAAACTGTTAATAATAAATGAATTTCGTCATATTTGATATTTAAATGTCCATTGTGATTTAATCAATATGGAACTGTCGTACGTTACGTTAATAACCTTTGACTTTTCACCAATAAATAATTACCTTGTTAGTTAAACCATGAATAATGTTCAGAAGCTGCTTTTGCTTCTCAAAAAAGGAGGTGAATTTGAAAATGGAATCGAAACGCATCCAGAATTTGTAATGCCTTTGGTGGATAATGTCACACATTCTGAAAAAAATAATTTGAATCTTATTATTACAACAAAATACTTAAAACGCTTGCAAAGTTTTTGCTATGCAATGTGCTGTCCAATGAAGATTAGCGAAATCCATGTTGCGTTGTAACCCTAAGATGGAGGGTACCTCAACAGAATAAATGCAAAAGTATGGATATGGTATCACATTTCTTGATAGCGTAAACTATTCTGTGAGACCGTATCTAACCGTATGAACAGACTCATTCATGAAACCGTACATGCTGCTTTCCCAAAGTCCCGACAACTATGTGTGTTACGAGACCTGAATTCTAATGTTCCAACTTTTTTTTTCACATTTGTAACAACAAGTCACATCACTTCTCCATCTTACTGCTCTGACATTGGAAATGATGACTGAATGTGTGTTTCATACATAATTATATGCTTCAAGTTTCCATCATCATCTGTCAAGATGTTGAAATCCCAGATGATGAAACTTGATGCACCTTATTCCACCTAGATGGGGTCGGCACAATATGTTAATCATGTTATGAGTGGTTTTGGATCTGTTTTTTACGACCAATCTGCAGACGTCCACCCTCCTTGGGAAACAAACACCCAGATCGAGAACAATTATCTGAGCGCCACACATTACTTGTTCCGTGTAGGAATCGAACCCACGACCCCTAACGCCGACGCCAATAGCTTAGCAACGGCGTCACTGAGTCATCAAGTGCACATGCATCAAGTTTATCAGGCATATAGTTTAATTCCGATTGTAAAGATTTTGGAGAAAAAAGTTATTCTTCTAGTCACAAAGTTTTGGAATTGAAACTTGAATTCAATGGAACTGAATTGGAACTTGACCTAAATAAGCTAGTCAGCTTTTTTAGGTCAAGATGATTTTTGTGCGCTATATATGTAACGAATTTTTTTTTCCATCTTTACATACTTCATTACAGCCATAGCGTAGTCGAAACCAGATTGGTCTTGAGTTTCTCTGGTAATCCCCATAGCGGTTTCTGAAATATTAAATGAACTTTAATTTAACGCTTGCGAATTTAATATGTGTTACGCAAATGCTTCAATCTGAATAGTATAATTTGAATTAAAATTCATTTTATTTAGGGTCAAAAGTCAATGAAGTTGATGGAGTTGTTTTGTATTTTAAAATTTAAAATACGAATTGAAATGATAATGACAGGCAGAATTAAAAATAAAGCAATAAGCTGGAAGAAATGAAAACGTAATTGTATAATAATTGTATATTAAGAGAGGATTTCGGCAGCCATTTCCATGGAGTGTTAAATAAGATATTAGAATTCAATAGCACCTTACATAGTACAAATGAGCAAATGTGTTTCACAATCTACGTTCACGAATGTACACTTTCGATGTGATGAAATGACAGATAATAATAATAACCACTCACCACGAACCAAGTACTAAACTAAATTAAATCTTATGATACGTGTTAAATTACACTTTTGATTGTGGATCGCTGGATACGTGGTAGGTAATTAAAACCTGTGTTACAGGTCACCAGACAAAAGATGTTATCATATAATTTAATTCCGAAAAAAACCTCGCGATTGATTATTGATAATTCGATTGAGATGTCATCCCATAGATTGTTGATAAATATTATTTGCGGTCGCCTTACTGATAAAAAAATTACCTAGTAAAATATCGACTGTCACTCCGCTCATGTAGTCGTGGACATCAAATACTTTTCCCATCTCGCCGCGCATCTTCTCCACCACATTTCTACTGTTTTGATTGAATACACCGATGAATGACTTCAGGATGTTAATGTGGAACGTAGGGGCGATCATTTTGCGATGGGACCTCCATTTCTCGCCTGGTTGACGTTCCAAAATTTAGATTGTGTATTAGTTATTATAGAGTACTGGGTATATAGAACCGTGGACGCCATACGTCTTATACTCAATCGATGTAGAGACCGGAGCCACGGCACCCTTACGTACCGGGTGAGTTAGGTACTCCCGGGACAAAGCTGTTTCGGGAAAAACTAGTGGCGCGTGGCGGGGAGGGTGCCAACAAGACACAGGAGGCCTGCAAAAGCCACAGTCGCACCGGGGCTCGCGGAGGTTTGCATATGCGTGTTTTCGTGTGTAATTGGCAAAAGCGACAAGTAAGGCACCACGTGGGGTTTTAGTAGGTAATCTGATACCGAGGATTACAACCTACCTCGTTGTTTTCCCACAGGGCATTGAGGAACCATAAAGGAATTTTCCTACGTTAAATAAAGGTAAATAAAGGTATGGCATATTATGTAAGTAGTTATTATAGGTTATACGGTATTACTTAAATTAATTCTACATCGGTAATTCGCGACATACTTCAATGACGTTAAGGACTTTGAAATATTTAAATATTTATGCTGCTAATCTCTGCACTTAACATGAAATACTTTCGTCAAAAATATGTGAAATTGCTTTATATATAGGTCATACTAAAAGTTTCCGGCATTGGCCACTTACATACACAATATTTAAAAAGTAATTACAACACTTGAAAATGGAAATCTTTGGCTGTAGTATGCAGTTTGGTTCATCTGACTGTTAATTGTTTTTACATTGTGGTTCCATTTTAAAAATTACGTGTATACATTAACATGAATTTGATGGGAACTTGGGAAAATTCGGAATTTGAGGATTTTCGTAGTATGATTTTCTACGATTTTAAGTGTAATTTGACCGTTCAGCAGTGCCTCGCTCAGCAGATTGACTGCTTTTGGCGATGAAGCACCATGCCAGACGATAACTTATAACTGGTTTGCGGAATCCGCACCGCGTCACTTGATGCAAGGCCATGCTCACCAGATTTAACGAAGGGGCGTCGAATTTCGTGTGGAACATAGTAACAGGTGATGAAACATAGATTTATTGATACAATCCCAAAACAAAGCAGCAATCAAGTGTATGGATCATTCAAGATGTGACGAAACCAAACAAAGCTGATGACTTTGATGACTCCGTGGCGCAGTTGCCAAGGTATTGGCTTCGGCGTCGGAGGGTCGTGGGTTCGATTCCCATACGGGACAACTATTTGTGTGACCCACAGATAGTTTTTTCGCATCTGGGTGTTTGTCCGCGTGAAATTTATGTTTGTAAAACGTCCCTACAACAAAGGATAATTTTATCCTAAAGTAAGGGCAATGTTTTAAAAAAAAAAAAAAGTGGTGCGCCTGTAAAGTGCATCCGAGCGAATGATTGCTTTTTTTTAACAAAACTGGACACGTGGCTACTGTTACTTTAGAGACTCGCAATACCGTGAATAGTGACTGTTTCACGACCGTTTGGCGGAAGTTATTGACGGACTGCGTAAAAATAACCGATACGGCGTATCATCTTGCATCACGACAATGCCAGTTACCATACCGCCAGACAGACAAACCAATTTTAGAAGGTGAATAACGTAGTACTTATGTGCCAGCCTGCATTCAGTCCTGACCTAGCACCTTGTTACTTTTTTCTGGTCCCAGAAATTAAGAATCAATTATGCGGTCAACGATTTTCATCACCAGAAGGCATGAAAACAAGTATGAAAAACACGTTAATGAGGTCACCACGGAGGGGTGGCACAAATGTTCTCAAAATTGGTTTAATATTATGAAAAAGTGCATTTACGTGTGATAAAGTGTCAATATTTTGAGAAAAAATAAATTCATTTTTGACCTTTAATAGTATTTTTTTCTCATTCATTCCGGAAACTTTTAGTGCTCCCCACGAATTAGAGAATTTGATTTTTCTTATTTCGCTTGTTTTTTTTACTAGTAGAGAGTACTCCTACAATATTATTTGTTGTATTAAAAATTTAATAAATAATAATCTAATTCTACTAGTGCAGAAATTTTATCATACAACGTAACAGATTTACCTGAGCTGATTAATAGACCTTCGCCAAGCCAGGGTTTGAAGAACCTGTACTCAGAGGATTTGTCGATATGCACATGGCTGTTAAGGATGACCTCCGCATCGTCAGCGTCGCAAAGGAACACAACTAGCTTAGAGCCAATCCAACCACGCACTACTGTTCCGTATTTCTCGATGTAGTCCAAACCCATAGTTATTAATTCTGTGAAATCAAATTAATATAAAATATAAAAAATTCCTTCGTTGGAAATTTCAATTTGCACTTAATTTACTTTTAATCGTAATAGTTTATTACTAAGACTCGCAATTGAATTTAAACTCTGAAGTTAACTAACTTCATACATACATCCATTCATACAAAAAATACATAGAGGCAAGTTCAAAACAATATGAAACCAATTAATGTTACCATCGGGTTTTTTGCCCACCGCCAACAATGCATTGCCAAATAATGGTACTGTGGACGGGCCGGGCAATCTGTTGCCCAACTTGAATATTTTTGTTTGCTGTTGCCATCGGTACAGAAGCCAAATAGAGGTTGCGATTAGCACCAGGGGATAGAACAGAACCCGTGACGGAGTATAGTGGTCCTGCGATATTTCTTCCACCACCGTCATATTGCTGAAAGAAAAAGACTTGTGTGTATTTGAAAAGAGAATTTGGTTAAGACATAGAAGTAATAAATATGTCATATAAAAAAATATTAGTATAAAAATGTATTATATTTGACCCAAATTTTAAAAAATATACTTTGTTTGTGATGTAGCAGTTTGTTAGAAAAAGTCTATTTCTCTTTAAATAGCATTCAAATCCTATAAGTTTTAGGTGTAATGAAGGAAAAATATATTGTTTAGACCATGTTATTGTTTAATGTAATTGTACCAAATTGTTTAAACAAGTCAAGTGAAATGAGTTGAAAAGACCGCTATTTGTATCTGAAGCAGCAAAAAATAGGTCTAAAAAGACCTATAAAGATAACTAAATTGAATAATAATAATGCAAGAACTTTACTATAAATATTCTAATAAGCAGAGGCTTTTTTATGTAGCGGCTTGAAGTTGCTATGTTTTTTTGTTGAAATATCTCGCATGTGAGGGATCAGTTTTCGTTACATAATGAGAGGAGTTGTTAAATTTTATATTTACCTGTTGCCTCACACGCTTTTTTTAACTACACGCCCTATATGAAAACCTGTCGATCACTGTAATGCGATATAAAGTTTACATAACTACACTTTTATACCAAATGATTGTTTTTAAATTTCAAATATTAAGGGAAAGTTATTAAATTTTTGACACAGATCAAATATTTTATTATGTTAATTATTTAATCATATTTAAATAATATTTTTATCATATTTTTATCATCTTGATTTTACGTTCTAATCTATTTGTATGTTAATGAAGGCCATGATTAGTTTATGCTATGGTGAATTTGTCAACATATTCAAATGAAAATAAATTAATGATGCTCCTTTCATTTATGTATGTATAATATTATGATGCTATTTGCTTATTTATTAAATTTGTCTATGTAGTGCAGTTAAATAAAATTCCATCAGATCATTCTAGAAACTTTTCTATTTATTTATTTCAATTAAAATTATCTATTACATATATCATTTTTATAGTATTATTCCATGAAAATTAATGATTGAAACATCGTTATAAATAATAAAAATAATTTATAATAAATAAGATACAATCCATTGAAAGTATAATTATGCCTAAGTTCACGACAAATACGTAGTTAAATAAGAAATAATAATCATTTTATAGAAATTGCAAAGAATTAATGTCTGTCTAAAGCAATATAATTGAGTTAAATTTATTTTTTTTAAATACATTAATATCAGATTGACTTTCATAATCCATGCAACCAAACGAAATATTATTAATTGTATAATACTTAACTTTAATAATTATTAAATAATTTACTATTATTACATAAAAGAATAAAACAGAACTTGTTTTTCTTACAAGATTGCATATTTAAAGACGTGTGTAGTAATTCCCCTTAAACAGTGATTTATTTATATGTTTGTTATTCATTAACCTTTAACCTTATCTTTTCATTGTTTGTTAATTATCGATGAAAACTACGAGGGAGAAAATTTTTTAAAATATCATTTTTCTCTTCATAACTTTAAAGCACTATTTCGAACTATGCAGCAAACGCTTTTTATTTTGAAATAATATTTAATAAAGGTTAGTATAATCGAAATAACATGCCCTCTAGTTATTCGAAAGTTATTGATGTAAATTGAAAGTTAATTTTAATGAATAATTCAAAATGTTTGAACTAAATGTCCGTCTTGAATTGTGTATTATAATATTATTTTATTGACTTAAGTTATGACTTTATTATTAAATTTGATATTTGTTAATTCTATATGTACTCCATAATTTTTTTAATAAGTTGGATTAATTCAAAATAGCTACGCTAGACAAATACGTTTTTCTTACCACATTTGGGGGTATTTTAGTTACTTTATTTATTGCTATTTAACTCATTACAATATAATATGTGGATTTTATGTTTAATTTGATATACGACATTTGTTACTTGTAGAATGCATAGGTACGTTTTATTTAATTTGAGAAGGTGGAAAGTTAGCTAGCTAGTTAGCTTTCCACTATCTAGCTATCTTTAACATTTCAAATAAACGAGTTAAGTAACTGTAAAATCCATATAAAGAATGACTCATTATTATGTATTGTTGTGATAGGTATGAATCGACCCTTGACTTTGCTTAGTATTTCTAGCGATTCTAACCTACTATAAATATTATTGCATTAGGTGATATTGCAAAGCAACGACTGTGTGTCCCAAAAATATTCTGTATAAATTGTTTAGTTCAATAAATATTGATAGAAAAAAAAGAGATAATTAAAGAGTTTACCTTTGAAAGGAAGATATGGGAAAAGTTAAGCTATATTAAATGAAACGTAAACGCAAAAAAAAAAAAAACTAAACTTATGGACAAAGCATATAATATCATTGCGGAATATCTCGACGACGCCAATTTGTGGACTTAATACTGTTGATAATCACGTAGTACGTAGATACTCGCGTAGACTCTTATACCTATGTCATATTGTAAACTGATCTTTTTAAAAAAGGGCAACTGTTATGTTTCTTGCCAGTCTCTTCTCGACAGAAACAGCTTTCCGAACCGGTGGTAACTTACTTACGAACTTATGTGTCAATGTTTCATGTAAAAATGACGTTTCATAAGAACGCGCAAGGGTCTATTTGAATAAAGATATTTTGAATTTGAATTTGGTGAAAACGAAAGATTCGATTACTTGCCACTTACGTTTAGTAAATATACGTAGACCTTACAGACACAACAGTGTGGAGAAGTAAGACACCATTAAATCGTTCAGCACTGACGGTAAAGGTAAGTAGTTGCAGTTGCAATAATGGCATGAAGTGTCGAACCGAATGTTGGTATTGATAGAGAGTTCTCGAAATCACTATATAGTATAAAACAAAGGTCGTCCCGCTGTCTGTCTGTCCCTATGTATGCTTAGATTTTTAGAATTATGCAACGGATCTTGATGCGCTTTTTTACTAGAAAGAGTGATTCAAGAGGAAGGTTTAAATGTATAACACATTGCAACCGTGCGAAGCTGGGTCTCTAGTGAATAATAAGATAGAAAGGGTATGAGATAATATATAAGGTATGGTGAAGATAGGTAATACTCCAAATTTTATGATCATTGAATGAACGAAGTGTTATACGAATATGTAAAATTACCTATGTATATACCTGAAGAATATAAATTCTTCACATTTTATGTTAAAGTATACCAGTCATATAAGTTTTCAAATCTTTATGTGACTCTAATTCACAAAAGTATGGTTCACCACAAATTCCGTTGTATAGTACAATATAAAGCTATGGCATTTTCAAATAACATCGTTGAAAAATTAAGATGCCTTTTGCTTTTATAGGAGCAAAGTTTAAAAAAGCATTAAATGTCGTGGGAAAATAGCAGGCGCATAGTTTTTATCATTCTAGTGCCCAGTTTCCGAAAGGCCAATCAAAGCAGCAATCACATAACACTATGTCAAAAATGATCAGCTGTTAATCTCTTGTTAAACTGCCTTGGGTTTCTGGAAGGTTTGTTCAAGAAAAATTAGCTAATCACTGTTTAACCAATGATAATGAATGAAATGAATGATTTACTCCAACTAACTCTTTCTATTGTATAGCTGTCCCTTTTTAAACAAAACTTAAATTAACGTCACTATCCAGTCCTGTCACCGTGTGATTGCCAACGTAAAAATCCGAGCTATAATAAAATTTAATTTATATAAATACATGCAAAATGCCAAGAAAAAACTTTACAGAACGTGAAAAAAATTAACTTTTATCAATAATAAACAAGTATTATAAAAAGAAAGAATCCATATTATTTATTAACTTTTGAATTGCATTTTGTATTTTTTCCAATCGCATGATATGTTCGCATAATAATAAATAATAAATAGGTAATAGAACACATGAATGTACTTACAACGTATTAGGGAATTATGTTTATTTTTCATAAAAACTAAGATTTGTGATAAAATACATTTTTAACCAACGATTGATCGTCCAAATTGATGAAAATGAAACTCGATTTTCTGTTGATTGTCCGTTAAAGTAACAGCCTATACATGTCCCACTGCTGGGCAAAGGCCTCCTCTATATAGAGGGTATCAGGGCATAGTCCACCACGCGGCCCCACTGCGGATTGGCGGACTTCACATATCTTCGAAATATTTTTTTTGTTATTATTTCGAAAATATGCAGGTTACCTCACGATGTTTTCCTTCACCGCGGAGCACGTGATAAGTCAGCACTTAAAGTTAAAAACTTCATTGGCGCCGGCACCGGGGATCGAACTCAGGTTGCTCGAGTATATTGAATTAAAGGCGAGCGCCCGGACACTGAGCTATCACGGCTCCGTCTATTGTCCACGGCTATTGTCCGTTAATCAGTGACTAATTGCAAATCAAAATCAATGTTGTTTTCAGACGTTCTAGCAACTCAGATCATGTTAAACAACGAGAACAAGAGATTTATCGTAAATTAAAATTGATTGCGCTTTCGGAAACTGGGTGTAGGTGTATTATTTCTGATGTTGAAGACGACGACTACTTTTGTATACTTTTGTATAAAGTAAAGTAAAGGATTATATAAATATATACATAAACTAGATTTTAACACCTAAAACAACTTTAATCTTTAATTCTTGATCTCAAATTTATTTATTTTTAATTACTTTTGGATATTCAGCAACAAAATATTGATTTTCTTACAAGTGTGTGTGTGTGTGTGTGTGTGTACAGTATGTTTATGTCTACATTTCAATATGAAATAATCTAGTAGAATAAGAAAAGACATTTTGATTAGTTGTGTCACGCAGTTACAATCAAATATAAAACTTAGTACATTAAATGTTGAAACATACTTAACACTAAATATATATTCGGATGAAATATTATCTTTTATCCTGTCACTAACGCCTTTAACTTAATATGAATAATAAAAAAAATCTTGTTACAACTTATGAGAGCTAGTTAAAAATAAGAATTTAATTGACATTTATAGGGTGGAATTCGTTATCCTCGTTTGTCATTTCTGTAATGAATAAATGTATGTATTTCCGGTATGTAATATACCAGCATGTAATATACCGGTATAAGTAACGCCAAAAGTTTATAATCCTCTTTTGAAGGTGACCGGCAGGTACTGGTTTTACAAGACCTTACCTGTTTTTGACTCATTGATTCAAGTTGAAAAATAAAACCAATAGGGTCGTAATTTCAAAATAAAACACTGGCTAAATAGGAAGCTTTTATTTATAAATGATATTTAAATATCCATGTAATTGAACCAGTATTAGTTTTTATAGTTTTAAACTAAAGGGCAGTAATTATATCTCAACATTTGGTTAACGCCTTATCGTTGCTTATAGCAAATATTCGCAAGAGGGAACAATTGACGACCCGATTGGTATAGTGGATAGTGGACTAGTCTGTTGTGTCAGATGGTGTACGTCCGATTTCCACCACTGGAAGAATATTATGTGATGAACATAGTGTTTTTCTAGTGTCTGGATGTTTATATATTTATAGTATGTAATATTTGTATGTTTAGCAGTTACTTAGTATCCATAGTAAAAGCTGTGCTAAGTTTAGTATAAGCCTTGAAAATTTTGTTTCTTTCATTACTGTAAAAAAAATATTTGTGACGGGTAACCAGCCAAGCATGGAGGTTCGAGCTGGAGAATAGGAACATTGGAAACAATTAATTGAAACCTTGGCTTTAAAATTTAGCGAAAAAATAAGTTTTATATATTATTTTAGTGCTTTGACAACCTTTATAATAAGTAGGCCGCGGTTACCTCACTGTATTTAAATTATGTGCCTACTAGCTAGCGCACTTACCATCAAAGGCTGATCGCCACTTACCATCAGGTGGGATGGCAGTCAAGTGCTGGCCAGTATTGAAATTGAATTTAAAGAAAAAAAAAAAACTGAATACTTGGCTACATGCAGCCCACCATGCTTGGATATTTTTGAAGTTGATTCAATAAATGTTTAAGAGCGTTAATTTAAAAATGGTCAACCACGGTACGTAATATTACGGCAATAAATTGTAATGCTATGATTTGATTGAAATTGAGAGTTATCTGAGAGTTCGATGACTCCGTGGCGTAGTTGCCAAGGTATTGGCTTCGGCGTCGAGGGTCGTGGGTTCGATTCCCACACGGGACAACTATTTGTGTGACCCACACATAATTGTTCCGAATCTGGGTGTTTGTCCGCGTGAAATTAATGTTTGTAAAACGTCCTTACAACACAGGATAATGTTATCCTAAAGTAATAATAGGCAATAAAAAATATCTGCCGGTAGGATCACATGAAAAAGGCAAGTTTCATACAAATTTAATCCACAACCCCAATGGGACGGATAGTGTTATTCACCTTTATTTAGCTTGTAGTAGTTTAAGTCTGGTGTAAACTACTAAGACAGTGATTATGTTTATTGAAATAAACAAAGAATGACATCATGCTTACAATAACAAGCAAATTGTGTCACCGGCACAGTCAATCTTTTACTACTTAATATTAAGTAAATTAAAAAGTACTTTTGCCAGGCTGCAACATTGACTTCAATATGAAAATTATAAATAGTAGTTACTGACGTTTATTATGGTTTGGCATCTATGTATGTCATTCATAAAATATTAAATTAATGATTACGTAAAACGAGTTTACCAATTGTGGATAGTGCAAGATTTTTTTTGTCAGTAGTATCAAGAACCTGCTATTAACGATTTACTATTTCTGGTGAAGACAACGATTGCTGGTCTTTCAGTGTATTTTATTTCATCACATATTAAATTTGTTTCTTAACATAAATTTTTAAAATAAGACATTTTGAAATTCTTTGGAAATAATCTATTCTGTGCTGCCCCAGACTGTTACTTGTTTACAGTCGCACAAGAGGCTTTTAAATAACGAAAAATCATCAATTAAAATATATTTTGGCCGTATAGTAAATCTTTCCTATTTGGCTTCGCCACGGTTGGCTAAAAAGGGATACAAAGATTTTCTTTCACATAGTAAGATATACGTGCTAAATTGTCACATGAATTGTATTCGATACTAGCTGTCGCCCGCGACTACGTCTGCTTGGAATTTAAAATAAAAAAAATCTAAAATAAAAGTAGCCTAAGTTACTCCTTATTACATCAGCTGTCAGTGAAAGTCCTGTCCAACTCGGTCCAGCCGTTTCAGAGATTAGCTGGAACAAACAGACAGACAAAAATTGTAAAAAATGTTATTTTGGTAAATGTAAAGTGTATACATCCATATGCATTTAGTTATTTATTTTAATATTACAAACAGACTCCAATTTTATTTATCTGTATGTATGCATAGATGTACTTATCACATATATTAATCTTGGATACGGTGTACTGGTGGTGTATTAAGATCGGCTGTAGAGTCTAATTGGCTATATAAGAGGTGTAATATTCAATAGAAGCATATTTATTACAATAATATCTTTATTCTCAATCCTTAAAACCATCGAACGTTTCGTAACTCCTACTTTTGATCACTATAAAAGTACGAAATTGTTACCGTTTAGAAAAACCGATCATCATTGGTAAATCGTTGCCTTTAAAACGTTTTTTTTAAGTACGAGTATTCGTTATTTGTTACCATCTTTTCTAAATATAAAAGGATTAGGCCCGGGCCATCATTAGGTACGATCATGATTAATTTTTATGAATGGATTTTTATATGTGAAAGAAAATATGTCTGTAGAGGAAAAAAGGTCGAAGAAAGGACATAATGACTGCTTTCGCATTTTTTAGAAACATATCTCCGGAACATAAGTGATTACTATCGTTTCTTGGCAAGTACAATAAGTCATGAGATTGCAGTTGGATCGCAGCTCTTAAGAATGTGGGCCCTGGCTACCTCACTTACCTTAGAAGCAAAGCTATTGACTTTAAATAATACTTTTACTTGATTCTCTGAGGACTAATACTTCTTCAGGCTCATTCCACTGCAGATACGAGCTTACACAAGAGAAAAGAAAAGTCTCTAGGTTATGTGTACGTATCTATCAAAGTTGGAAATAACCAAAAGTCTCATCCGTTGTCTGATTACGAAAGTTACAATTCGGAAACGCGAAAATGATTTATGTTGATTTTATGTGCAGCATTAAAATGCTATTTCATAGGATTTATGATTTTTATCTCAAAGATTGTATATAACAGTTTACATACGAAATAGACAATTTACATAAAAATTAATATTAATATTTCTTCAGAAATGTCAACGATTTTTAACTGTCTTTGATAGCCAGTGTTTTAATGATTTTAAATAGAAACATATGTTTTATTTTCACACTTCCTTATGACACGGAAAGTATTTTGTGTTATAGTCGGTTACATCAAAGGAACATTAAATTGTAAATTTTTGTAGATAAATGAACAAAAAAGAGTTGCGGGATTCGGACCAGCGTCTTCTGGTTTCGCGTGAAAATACAATTTGAATGCAGAGACAAGGAGCTAAAAATTAGGCAGTTTCTTTTGTACAATTAAACCTCATTGACTTTGCTCTTGCATAGGACCGAAGTCAAAAAGAAGTTTTTACACTTTCAGCTGTATCCGGTGCTTGACGACAACGGAGTCACATACACCTTAAATTCATTGTGTTTGTCCCATTTCGTCACTAACCATCGACAGGAATTTATTTTTATACTTTTTTTTTTTTTTATGGGAAAAGTTGTCAAACGAGCAGACGGTTCTCCTGATGTTAAGTGAATACCGCCGCCCATATACATCTGCCACACCCGAGTGTTACAGATGCGTTGTCAACCTTTTGAAAACTGGGCTCCGGCTACCTCACTCACCAGACGAAACGTGAAAGTATTTGTCATACTTCCACTTTACGCTGGTCTTCTGTGAGGTCGTGGTACTTCCCGGACGGGCCTGCCCATTCGTGCAACAGACGAGGCTGCTGCGTGGCCCTACCACCCTTAAAATTATAATATACAGATGGATTTGGCAATACTGTTAATACTATTTGTGTCTGGTCTTATGTAACGGGTAAGTATATAATTTTAGCTGTTGTTGAAATCAATGAAATTACAAGCTAATTTATAATTAATTGGAAGAACTATGTATGATAATTATTTATGTGGGTATATATATACGTAGCTATCATATGATAAATAATGTTCGATTACTGGATGATAAGTATAATAAATCAAATACAAGTCACCCATATATTAGATAAATGATGTTCTAGAATTGAACCCACGAGAATAATCTCAGACATGCAATCTTATTTATTATGGGGATCAATTCTGTTCAATGTTGTTTATTTCTCTACGATTACTGTTTAAACATTCTGGCACTTATAAGGACCGTTAGAATAACGTTAATAATTTAAAAATCAAAAACCGACAGCGGTGGGAAATTGTTTTTGAAAACGTAAATTTTGACAATAAAGACGAATATAATGACATATCATTCCTCAAAATTGGTTCAGTTTGGAAAACGAAATATTTTTAAGGTGAAATATAAATTTCAACTTAAAAATATTATAAAATAAATTGCATGTCGACGATGAAACAGAACGAACTTTATAATAACCTAAAAATATGATGGCAAAGTATAATAAAGTTATGTAAGCGGTCTGCAAAGGTTTAAACAGTAGAACAAAATGTGTTATTTACACGCATAAAAATCTGTTTCGCAGATGAAACAGTAATACAAGAAACGAATAAAGTTATTTAAGTATTTTTATATTATGGTAATACAATATACGAAGGATTTCGTAATTATATTCCTACCTCATCGTTTAAGTCAAATTTAGAATCGAGCTCAATACAAAGGAAGCTTTTATTAGTTTAAGCCCATAATATATTTATGTTATTACCGTTTGGAATAAATATTAAGTTTAGGTATTTCCAAGACCCCTGTGTTCGCTCGCTCGTGTAAGTGACGTTGGCCTTAAGGGCCGGTATGTAGATAGCTTTCTGACACACCACGGCAAAACTAGTTTTGCAAAACTTGGATTTTAGGGTCATGGTTACTAGAACAATTAAACTAATCTGTGATTTTTATAAATTTAATTACAGCTTAGCATTAAAATTAAATTTAGCTACATATCTTTTGTCAAGTTAGGTCAACAGGTTATAACAGCTATGATTAACATGTTTCATAATTATACCATTTTTATACGCATCGCGATTCATCACTCTATTTTTAATTACATGAAACGATAAAACACTCGACAATCGGATCAAAGATTCCGGGGTAAAGGCAATAAATTAACATCGTTAATAAACCATCAGAAAAACGTTCTTTGTTTAGAAACATTTCAATAGTGGTGACAAGATTAAAAATTTAGTCACTTACGTCCGGTTTCTGTAACACTGATCCCCGTAGATGTCAACTAATCAGCTGTCAAAAGGTTTTTCAAATTTCATTTTAGTTGCCAAAAGATGTTTAAACTTTCTGAATTGACCAGATGATCTTCTTAATGATCAGAATGATCAATTCAAAGAGTTAAAATTGTTAAAAAACTTGTTGCAAATTTCATTTAAGTTGCCAAAAGGCAATCCTTTTGGCATTTAAAATGAAATTTGAAAAGCCATTTGACAGCTGATTAGTTAACATCTACGATGATCGGTGTTTCAGAAACCGGGCGTTAGTATATAAAGTGCGCAAAATTTTAAACCAAGGGGAAATACAAACTGGTTTACTATGATCGTTAAAAGAAACATAAACATGAGATAAAACCATATTTTATATTCAAGCAATTACCGATAGTGGCGCACTGCGAGTTATTAGGGTTCGTAGTAAACAACAAGTTAGTTGTATCTCTGGTCAGTACACCCGTTAGACGTGTTATTGTAAAAGCTCTATAAAGGTAAAACTTTCACCCAGTTACCACGCGAGCTTTAACCGGAGGAGTTTTTACGCAGAGCACCTGTGCCGCAAGTGAAATGGCATCGTAACAACAAAATTAAACTTGATCAAGCTCTTAACTTTGTACCCGTGTTAAGGAGGTATTTACGAGCGATAAGATAATGCGTAATCAAACAAAGTGATTGTGGAGACACGTTGCTGCGCCGTTTCGGCCAAGCAGCGGTAGTGTTCCAAGTGGATCCAACCAAGATGGACCAGGGCTCGGTGTCTGAGTTGGAGAGAATAAACAAAAGTGCCGTTGAAAATGGGAACGGTGTTACAAAGGAGGACTTATATTCCGAGAGACAGTCGCCTTTTCGCAGACAGGTTTGTCACGACCTATAATTTCTATTATACTACCTTTTACGTGTTACAAAAACCTATGCAAACGGTCGGTTAAAATACTTGTTCTTTTTTTTAATATTAGAAATTGAATATTAAAAATGAGATAATTGTTTCAAAATAAATTGCAAAACAACTTTTTCAAAATACTTGATTATAAAAAAGTGTAAAAAGTTTTGTCTAAAAAATTATTATATATTGAAATTAACTCGGCTAATATACGGTTTTTTGATGTCTCAGTAAATACGAATTGACGAGAAACGCTCAGTTAAAATCTTCAAACGGAATAGCAGCGGTGGTAATAAATAAAATGTGTAGATGACATTTACGGTTAATAGTTGAGTAAATTTCATTAGAAAGCAAGATATATATCTTGAAATTATTGAAGCTAAGGGAAACTCAGTTTTTAATTATTTTTTAAAAATATTTTTCATTACTATTTATACATTAAAGTTATTTATGTGCTATCTTAAATTGTTATTCCTTTAGTTGATATAATTAAATTAATTAAAAAAAAAAACGACTAAGATCATTTAAGTTTTACAAAAGAAGGAATTTTTCCCGTGGTAGTAACCTAATTGCGATTGTAGATAAAAAGCGTGACAATGATATTCATTGAGTAGTTTTTAGATTGTGTTATGGTTTAAAGTTGTTTTGTTTGAAAATAGTTTTTGAATTGTACATTGAAAACCGCATAAAATTTGTAGATGGATTCATAGGGCAGCTAATTAGTGCTACTAAAGGAAATTATTGCATTCATAGATGGTCACGATATCCATTGCTACAGTTACTGAAAAGATAAAAAACATTAACGAGACACGTCTTCACCTCCAGTAATAGATGACGTTTTTAATCGACTTCAAAAAAGGAGGAGGTTTCTCAATTCGACCGTATATATATTTTTTTAATGCGTGTTCGCGGATAACTTCGCGGTTAGCCATGCCTCAGTCTTGGCACTAATGTTGCCTTGGTGCTAATTATACCATCTATGGTGAATCGTCACTGTCTACTTACCTGTCGTATTTATATATATTTTTTCACTGTACCCACATTAGGTGGGTGCAACATATCCATTTCTTTCATATTCCTATATCAGTATCTTAGTACTTCTATTTAACACATTTACTATTTTTCATACATTCCATCCAGCCTATTTTAATCTCCGTCTAGTCGTGCACCCTCCATCTATATTCATACTCAAAACTTTCTTCATCCCCCACATGACTTTCGACCCTTCTCATGACGTGACCATACCACGAAATAATAGTACTAAGTTTCTTTTTGTTACCATTTTAAGTTCTCAGCCCCTGGTGCCACTTACAATCTTTACCATTTACTAATATACTCATTTCAGATCTTTTCCATTCTACTCACATCACGCATTCATTTCATCATTCGCATCTCTACTGCATGTGTTCATCTTCCATCCTTCTCTTTTGTTACCCCACACTCGGATTTGTACATGAAATATATTTATATATAAAGTAAACAAGGCAATAAAAAAAGAAAAAATAACAATTTTTTGCCTGTATAGAGGAAAAAAAAATATCGAGTCTAGTGCACGCCCACATAAAACTATTCAAAGTACAAGGGCACAAAAATAATATCAACTATCAAAATAGTACTCTTACAGGGGGTCTCTATATGCAAAACTCCACGCAAACATTTAACTCCACAATTATTTAAATATTATATTTACTCAATAATCATTATCTGTACTCTACTTTGGGATCAATTAACCGTCTTGCCATTTGCTAGGAGCAAAATAATGAATTCAACAAGGAAATTGCTTGTCCTCGAAATTTTTTGTCATATTTTAAGAAAACCGACTCAATTTGATTTTGTAGTAGCAAAGATCATATACATAAGTAGTAATATATATTTTCTTGTTCATGTTGCTAAGAAATAATGCTGTTTTAAAACGGTAACTAGTTATCGCCATAGACGTCAACCACACCCGTGGGGTTGTGACGTTGGTAACCTCAAAGGGGCTGTCTGTCCGTCTGTCACCAGGCTGTATCTCATGAACCTTGATAGTTAGACAGTTGAAATATTCACAGCTGATGTATTTTTATTGCCGCTATTACAACAAATGCTAAAAAAAAAGAATAAACAAAATATACAAGTGGCGTTACAATACAACAGACATTATTTTTTTTGCCGTTTTTGTAAAAAACGTTGCGGAACGTTCGGAACCCTTCGAGCGCGAGTCCGACTCACAGTTGGCCGTTTCTTGTATAACCATAGAAGGTGTTGCGTCGCCCCACCTAATATTAGATCTAGACATATTTCCAGTCAGATAATTGCTACCGATCGAGCCCAGGTTCGGCCCTCTCGGGCACCCTCTAATCAGAATGCTAAACGGGTATCGAGTGACAGCCCAAGCCGAGGTCCCCTCTCGGGGGCCCTTGAGCCTAGTCACTCCATGGAGCGTCCACCAAAGGGCCCTAAGAGCTTGGTGGCCTCCTAAACCGGTAATGATAATAATGGCATGATGGCCTGAGCCGAGACTCCCACGGGAGCCCTCGAGCTTAGTCACCATAACGCGTAACCGAGGTCCAGGCTAGGCGCCCCGAACGCCCGGCCACCTAAAGTCCGGTGGAACTGTAAAGGCCCCTAAGGCCAACAGTGGCTCATCTTGCCAAAAAAAAAGTTGCCTCACCACAGTTATTATTATCGCACATTTTAGAAGACCATCATTAGTTTATGTAGAAATGTAAATAATATGTAATGTACAATAATAAACTTATCATAATGTCTAAAATAGATGATGTTTATATTACGTCGTTACAATATAAGGCTTTGTACGTGTAGGTAAAGCCACGAAGATGCCTTTTATCATAATTACTATGAGCACATTTCATTAACATAGAAATATGTTTTGAGTATAGGCCATAGTTAGTGGTTTATATTAAACAACTTAAAAATGCGTGGTCACTACTTATTGATTAATATTAACATAATATGAGAATATGTTGATATCAATCAATAATTAGATGACTTTTGTCGTATACATTTCGGTAGTCATCATGGTTGAGAACTTTGGTTTGGAAAGTAAGTTAATGGTTGCTAGATGTTGTTCACATTCTTGCATCGATAATTTTCTTTTATTTACTTGTTATGTTAGGTAAATGTGAAAAATGTAAAAAAAATCTGATTAAGTGATTTAAGTAAACGTTGATGAAGGAGTAAGTAGGACATAATGAAAAGCTTGCGACAAATGTAAAGCGAGTAAACAAGATGTAAACTTGTAATGATCTGAATACAGAAAACTGAAGTAAGTCAAAGGACTGCTGGGTAACCGAACAAAGACAGCTTTACTTTTAGCACGGAATTATGACACATTCTTTTTTATCCTTTTAGATCGAATAAAGCTTAGCTATACTTTAGTTTTTAGTTAAGCTAGTAGTCAATCGTTCAATGGAAATAGTAACCTATCCTAGTCCATATCTATGACCATGTATTCTACAAAATAGTTAATTTACTTATATAGTTTCCCCACAATAGATTCATTACGTAATAAAATAAGTCATAATAGTTAGTTATAACATATGTCTCTAAGATATAGACGTAATGTAGGTAGTTCGTATACAAAAAAATGAATTTAGAAAGGACGCCCGTGTAGAAGATTAAAAAAAGAAACGAAAAAAAAAAAAAAACACAGGATGCGTACAAAATGTGTGTACACAATCAGTAAAATTTCAGTTTTTCCACAGATGGTTGCTTTAACGTATCCTTGTCACGAGTAACGATACATGATAATTAAGTACCTATCTTCAAAGTCACACAAACGGGTATGGAAAACGAGACGGTTTGCCCGACCTATTTAAGAGTGAACGTACTGTACGATAGGTACACCCCATTCCGCGGTGTTTACGATCGCTAGCTGTCTGAACAGTTATTGACCATCGAGCCATGGAACTGTCTCACAGCTTGAGAAGATAATACAATTATCAATTTCCAGTCGCTGATATCTTATAGCAGCAACGGATATTTGCTGTACAGTCATTTACAAAACAGAATTAGTTATCATTAAAATATCAATAGTACAGTAGACAATAGTAATTTTTTTTTAAATATATTTCTTTTCGCACTTTTGCAAAAAATTATGAGAGTAAAATTTTTACATTGCACCGAAAGCCAAAAAGCGACGTGATAAACTTTGTTGCAAAGCGACCAACTTCGCATACATTTGTTTTTATTATTTTTTTTTCAAATTTTTTGGATTATTGAAACATTTTTGATGAGTGGGTAATCTTTATAGAATTCAGTTAAAAACGTAATAAAAACTCTAAACAAAATATATGTTTATTATGCACTATTGTATTACAACTATGAGGAATTCATTTATTATATAAATATTTTTTTTTGTAATATGGTCTGACATATGTATACGAAATATCTAGTTCTTTCTACTAGGAATGAGCAAAAAACATTTCTAAAATATTAAAACCTGTAGTAAAAGTACGAAAAGATTGTCACCGCTGTGGGAATCGAACCCACGTCTTCGGCTTTCGCGGCCTGACGCTCTAGCCACTGAGCTAAACGGCTGATAGCCACAGCGACGAAAATCTTAACGCGTTCTTTCTACATTGTTATTTAGCTTGGCGCATCTATTGTTATATCCTTTCCAGCATACAAACAATTTCGAATATCGTTTTACAACGATAATTCGAACGAGAGATGTCGCCATTGCTTTTTATAAATTTTAAAGTTTTTTCATAGTGCTAATCTCTGCACTTAAGATTGAACATTAAAACATGTAGAAAAAGTACGAAAAGATTGTCACCGCTGTGGGAATCGAACCCACGTCTTCGGCATTCGCGGCCTGGCGCTCTTTGCAATTTGACCTCAATGTGTACTTGGACAGGATATGACGTGTTAACGCCCATTGTTTCGATAACGACCATTGCTTATTGTAGAAAATGATTGATTGTATATGACTGACGCTATTAAACAATAAATATCATGTTTACGATGAAATTAATAGGGACTTTCTTTGTTTAATCACAGCGATAGAAAATGCATTTCAGTATCAACATTATAAATTACCCTTTTATTTTTTTATTTTTTTATTATAAAGATGACATAGTCGATGACATATAGTTGACAACAATATTTTCGTTCAAATTATATTAATAGTCTCTAAAACTCTCTAGTTGCGTGGGTAAATGACCCCATAAGTTAAAAAATATATTTTCCATTAAATTTCGTGATGTAGATGAAGAAGAAACGGTGACGCTCAAGTCAGGTAGAATGTTTTCTGTTATACATATTCGTTTACGATTTTGATTTTTATTTGATACTAGCTGACTCGGCAAACGTTGTTTTGCCATATAAATTATTTCTAGAGCAATCAGAACGCACGCATAGTGTTTGACACGTTACACAGATATAGTTGATAGGTTGACAGGTACAGTTTGTATGGGAAAATAAATAAATTGTTGCTATTTCCATTTTCCATGCAATCTTTCCATAATTTCTCATCGTATAAACCTTCCCTGGACTGCCACAAATATTTCAAAAATTAGCTAAATAGGTCCAGCCGTTCTCGAGTTTTAGTGAGACTAACGAACAGCAATCCATTTTTATATATAAGTTGTCGTGTAGGTTTTTGATCTTTATTTAATACAAATAATATTTATTTAATACAAATAATCCAAATAATGTTCTAGACTCACTCGGGGGATGTCACATCTCCCTAGTGAGTCTAGAATAGCATAATACATGTTTTGCCAATATACCTACAAGTCGAATTGTACACAATCCTGTACAAAATTCGACGTAGACAAAGTCGGATCTAAATTTCTTCTGAATGGACTTATAATGATATAAATATGTTTTCGATTACTTTCATAGTGTAATATTTGAAGCGCTTGTACTCGACTGGACGGGACTTTACAATGAATCTTTTCAACGCATTCAAGTTCATTGGCCGCTCTACCTCCTTTCTCTTAAATAGATCAAGGTCTTGCCTTTAATGATACACTTCTATATTTTTAGTGCCAAGCTGGATTGTTTGTCTGTATAACTTAAATAAGCGTTCAAAATTATAGTACTCAAGTAGCAAATGATATGCAAAGGACTTACCTACGCATAAGAAGTAGACGCTTAATTAGAACTTACCACTTTATGTACGCTACTTGTATGTGATAACTTATGCATGAGAAATAAATAAAACGTACAAGGTACAGAGAAATATCTTAATTTCACTACTCTAGTATATATTTAGACATTCAACCTTATAAAAATCGTGTTTGTACCCCTGCCAACAAAGGTTAAATTTTAATCTACTCTTTACTACTTTGATTTATACTTTGCGTATATCCGTATTTTTAAAATTAACTGAAAAGTTTGTTGTTTTATACCATATAAATATTTTGTTAACAGAACTCGAGAACAATGTAGATGACACAACAGACATTTTTACTTTTCCTTATCTCGGTCTCGAGACTTTAGCATTATTAAAAAGGTTCCAGATTCCTGGCTTAATTAGTTAGGTGAAAGTCTTTCTGAGAGACCGGCCCCCTCGAGTTGTCGCTGATGGCAATTTTTCCTTGGCTATGACGATCAACATGGGCTTCCTCAAGGATCTGATCTTTCCGTAACTCTAATTTTCTTGAATATTTATAACCTGTTGGGGAAAGTAAAGATATAATTATTCACATGCGCAGTCTATGGTAGAGCGTGTGAATCTCATTTGCAGGCACAGGAGGGGTACGCAAATTTTATGGGATTTAATATGCCAAAACTATGACCATGCACCGGACTAGTATTTTTCGTACTGTTGAAATACTCCGACTAGCTTTAAATTATAGCATTAAGATGCCTTTAAATCGCAGCTTTGGTCGTATCATTAAGACCAAGGCAAAAGCAGGAACAAGTTGGCGGTCCCAGCAAAAGTGTGGTACTATTTCACTCCGGAACAGCTCTTATCTGTTTATAAAGACCATTTTTTTTTACTGGATGAGCCACTGTTGGCCTTAGGGGCCTTTACAGACCCGACGGACTTGAGGTGGCCGGGCGCTCGAGGCGCCTAGCCTGAACCTCGCGTATTATTATTACGCGTTATGGTGACTAAGCTCGAGGGCTCCCGAGGGAAACTCGGCTCGGGTCGTCACGCTATTCTTTTCACCGGTTTGGGAGGCCGCCAAGCTCTTAGGACGCTTTGGCGGACGCTATATGGAGTGATCAGGCTCAAGGGTCCCCGAGAGAGACCTCGGCTTGGGCTGTCACTCAACACGCGTTTAGTATTCCGATTCGAGATTTGACTATCTGACTGGTATAAAGACCTTCTTGTATCTTGTATTAACTGATGTTTTTGCTTTCAGTCCCGAGACTATTAAAGCTTCATCGGACGCCGAACCGGTGGGCTAGCCAGAACCCACGGGTTTGGACCCTCCGCTATGGGTAGGGTCGCGCATGTGCTTATGCGTGCGTTTAACTAATATGGTGTGTCATCTAAGGGCCGTCGAGGTCGCCGGTTCGGACCGAGACCCCGACGGCCGTCGACTGTGCATTTAGCTAATCGGTGGCTGGGAGCGGTGAGAACTGCCCCGGAACGCGGGTGTACCTTGTGTACGCGTTGTGTGAAACCAGTTGTTCAAGGAGACTTATCGGTTGGTTCGACAAGTTGGTTCGTACCAACGAACCAATCTGCCCAATTCCAATTACTGGCGTAGATTAGCCAGCCTGTTTAGTGTGGACAACTAGACATTTAGGAGAACTTCGTCCCTTTTTGTTGATATCCCCCACTTTCCTACAATGAGATTCACCTCCTCTTTCGTATTACATACGGCAAAGTGGTGAAAAAATTATCTATTGTCAGTTTTTCGGTGAGATTATAATGTGTGTCTTCAAAGCAATGGTATGGAGATATGTGATTTTAGATGGTAAATGCACTAGCTAAGAAGTTAGTTGTCATGCGTTTACATCTAAAAGTACGTCTCTTCTAGTCAATAGTGAAATAAATAGTGAACAATACTAGTCAAGCACAGTATAAATGCATTTGCATAAATTTTGATTAAATGTTTTGTCTAAAAATACTTAAAAACTATGGACAACGTACCTAATTTTGTGTATTGTCTGAAATAAAGATTATTACTATTATTATATTATTACTTTTTCATTTCCAGGCGCTCATCGTATTGGGAACCTTTCTGCTATCTCTCAGTGCTGGAGCAACGGCGGGGTTCTCAGCGGTGCTCATTCCGCAACTTCAACATGCTAAGGGACACAACAAGTATTCAACGGAGACGGTGTCGTGGGTAGGTATGTGTTGATGATCATTTACATATGATCTCGTTTACTTATTTGGACAGTATATCGAGAGAATTTATTTTCTGTTTCAGCGGCTATTTCATCACTGGCCTTGTTATTCGGGAACATGATTTCGGGATACCTAATGGACAGACTTGGTAGAAGGTCGTCGCAAATGCTGCTGTCACTATTTTATATCGCCGGTTGGACTACTATAGCATTTGCTAACAATATACACGTTATTTTAGTTGGAAGATTTATAACTGGCTTCTGCCAAGGTTGGTTGGGTCCACTTGGTCCAGTTTTTGTGGGTGAAATTAGTTCACCAGCTTATAGAGGACTATTCCTAGCGAGTTTATCACTCAGCATCGCTTCCGGTGTTTTCATGTCACATCTCTTTGGAACATTTCTGCATTGGAGTCATGCGTCCCTTATGTGTGGAACTTTTCCCTTAATTGGATGCATAATATTGTATTACGCACCAGAATCACCAGCTTGGTTCGCTTCAAGGAATGAAATAGAGAAATGTATTAAATCATTTCAATGGTATAGAGGGACAAGCCCGGTGATGAAAAATGAATTGGACAAAATGATATTGGAACAGACGAAAAAAGTTGACAAAACGAGCAAGATGGAAACCTTGACGATGAACATAAAAAAACCCGAGTTTTGGAAACCGTTATGTATAATGTTAATTTTCTTTGCAATCACTCAACTCTCGGGGATTAACGTCTTCTGTGCGTACACAACGGAGATTATGGAAGTTTTATTGGGAAGTAAAGCAAACACATATGCCGCCATGTTGGGTATAGATATATTGCGCTGCGTGGCCTTAGTTACAGCTTGCATCATGCTAAGAAGAATGGGCCGCAGGCCGATTGCGATATTCAGTGGAACTTTTACGTCATTATCTTTAATAGTTTTATCAATTTATCTATATTTAGTGGAGATTCGCGTAATAAGACACGTTACACCGATCATATCCTTAGGACTGACCGCGACATATATTGTGGTTTCAAATATAGGCATAGCCCCGTTGCCTTGGAATATGGTGGGTGAAGTATTTGCGACTGAAACAAAAGGTATAGGTTCCGGTATAAGCGTTATGATGACGTCTATATCCTTCTTCGGAACCGTGAAAACCGCACCGGCAATGTTCGAAAACGTAGGACACCATGGAACTTACTTATTTTACGGAATGTCTACATTGATGGGCACAATATTTTTGTACTTCTGCCTTCCAGAAACAAAGGGAAAGACTTTGTTGCAAATCGAGGAGCGATTCCGATCGGGAAAGAAGAGGAAAACAAAGGGTACGGGTGATGTAACATCTGCGTAAGAATAAGGTCGACGTCATTATGTCAGACTGATAACATGATGATCCTTAAGTTCAGATTCGCGTGGAAAGTATGATATGGCATCTTTTAGATGACACAACAATGATCTTAAACATAAAGTGAGAGTAGGCAAGTGTTAAGATTACATTTTGACGTTACTTCTATTTTATATAGTAGTATACTCATAATTTTTATATTTATTCTAATTTTATCTTAGGTAAAAATTAGGACATTACATAATGGAGTGATGTTTCGATGTCGCGTTACGTAAATATGATTGTAAATGGCAAGTGAAGAAATATCATTTTAATTTATGCATATACATATATCTTTTGATATTTTACAATAACTTTCGTTTGGGCGTTTGTTTTATGGATTTTTATGCGAGTAAAAAAAAGTCTTTTTGTAACTTGAGTCAGTGCTCACTTCACCTCTCTAATAGTTTAGTGAAACCTGTTATTGTAACGAATATTTTTGACATATTTATAATGATACTTTTTACTTGATTTCATGAACCTTGACGCCTTTAACGATCTTTCATCTCTTAGAGATTATGTCGATTGTGATCAAATCATAACAATTATTCACTTTATTACAAAACTTTATAACATTTAAAAGTTTAAATCCAAATGCACGTAATAGACGTTAGTTATGGATATTTTTTCAAGTAATGTCGGATTATTTTTATTACAGGGTACCTAAAAACATTTTTTTAAAGCATTGTCCTTACTTTAGGATAAAATTAATTATCTGTGTGTCACACAAATATTTTTCCCGTATGGGAATCGAACCCACGACCCCCGACGCCAAAGCCAATAACATAGGCAACTGCGCCACGGAGTCGTCAAGCTTATTTTGATGTATATTTAAATATTACGTCGTTTAGGAATAGTGTAATGCTTGAGTTATGCATAGTTGAACACTTGTTAAAGTCGTTTTAACATGGAGGGATAGTTAAGAACACGTGAAACTATCGTCTCGATGCGCCCTACGTAATAAAAACAGTAGGTCTATTTCACGGTTCGTCGAGACCGGACAAGTGGCACGCGACTGAGTTTGAATTGCAGCCATCTTCCTGTTGTGACACGTGGATACGTGATAATATATCTCTGGGTACATTGGCGAACATCTGCTAGAAGCTTTTTCGGCGCACCGAAGTTCCCACGTTAGAGTGCGACTCGTTTTTGCTGAGGAAAAAAACGACCAGGAAAACATCTGGAGAGTGGATACGGCTATTTCTGGAGCTCACTCGATCTTTCGAAGTAAATAATCTCCATAATCTTAGCGTGGAGTTAAGAATGAGCAAGTTATTAAAGACAAAATATGATGTCAGGATAATTCGATGAATGAATCTACCGTGATTACCAATGATAAACTGTGACATTAATATTAAATGTCAAATAACACCCTTAGTATATTTTAAATATCTTGATCTCTATATAGTGATTTATAAATAGAGTCGTAAATTCACCTCTAGGCTGATAATTAAATACATATCAATTTCAATGTTGTTTTTGTCTATTGTCATTGTTTGTTTCATCATTTGACCGCCATTTGAGTGATAATGATAACGCTATAATGAGGTTCGAAAGATTGTAATTTGAAGTGTTTGTGTATCATATTTAATTTCATTATATAGGACATTGATAAACAAGGCTAATCTATCCAATGGGTTAAGCAGACCATAGCAATGAGATTTGAAATTTAAATAGGTAAAGAGATTGGTTTAATTATTATATCAATTGATTTTAATGGTAAACGATTTTTTGTGCGTGTTTTACTCATATATCTACATGCGTTTAGTTGAGTTGGTTGCGCACAAACGGAATGAATATTTAATATTCCACCAGACACGTGGCTGAACGGAAACCGTACACGTGTTATCAATTAGAGGTGGAGTGATAGAAAAAAAATGACGGGAATTATTGAAGCTTACCCCTATTGGGAGGAGTAGCCAGCTATAAAATGAATAGAAAATCATCGTAAACGCAACCCTTTTAAACAGAGGTATAGAGCGAAAGCATACTTTTGTTTATAAGTTTTCAATATATATATAATGGATTTGAATACTTAATGTCAAGGTCAGGTGATACGGAAAGATAATTAACCAATTAAATAATTAATTGTTGTAAACTTATACAAATTTAAAGTTAAAGTCGCTACATCAAAATCAAAATCATTTATTGATCGATATAAGAAAAATACATTTCATTTATCGATAGTATTTTTTTTTAATCTACCACCGTTTCGTAATGAGGATCCTCTAACGGAGAAGAAACAGGCGAAAGAAACTCCGTAGGTATCCTCTTTTTTGTCAATTTTTTTTCTCAACAAAATTAAAATATTATACAACAAATTTTTCATTTAGAAATGACTTGGGAGTGATAAAGGTTTCGTTTTTAGAAAAATACAGTGAACTAGCTGCTTCGCGCGACTACGACTGCTTAGAATAGGCTGAAGGTGTAACATTCAGACAGATAGACAGATATGATATAATTTATATAGGTACATAAAAATATGTATATGAATTATAGCTTATGTATTATTCTTATGTATAAGCTATATTATTGTAAAGTTTCATTAAAATCCATTCAGTAGTATTTGCGTGAAAGAGTAACAAACATCCATCCATACATACAAACTTTCGCCTTTATAATATTAAGTAAGGAAGTAAGGATAGGAAAAAACCGCAAGTCTCCTGAGTTATTGAGATAGCCTTGTGGCGTAATCGCGGGGCAGAGTTCATGTTGTGGTACTTTTAAATGAAAGGTCGTTCACATCTGTTATTATATATGGAATGACCGTGTCAATTTCTTGTTGGCCCACAAACATCGTTGTAATATAAAAAAGTATGTCGCAATTTGTGGCTGTCGTAAAGTGCTTTAGAATATTTATTTTACGTCGATCATAACTACTTCAAAAAGATGAGTATGAGATTGGAGTCCGGTAATGGGGCAATAATATACAAATATTACTGATCAGTCTGGTTGTTGCTGTTTCGCTAAATTCATAAATTTTAGATGATGAATTTTATGGCAGTAATTTAACATGACGATATTGCCAAACTTACTCGTAGGACCTTTATTAGCATGATTTAGGTGGCGTTTTTACAATTATTTTTTTTTCCACTTCCCTCTGTCGGTCAGTTGACTGTGCTATTAAAGTAAATAGTAAAACTAGATGTGTCTCGAATTGCGATATACACTTACTATTTTAATATTTATACATTTAATATAAATAATACATTAATTATTGTAGTATTTACGCAATATCCAATCGTTTGTTATTCACTTCTATTTACTGAATCAGAATCAGAATATCATTTATTTGCCTACTTTGTGTATTACAATTTATAATCCTGTGGCCGGTGAGCCGTGCAGGGATGAGTCAGCTAACTTATGTCCTAACGGATCTGTGTTTGCCGTGGTTTAATTATTCGTAATAAGTTAGTAGGTATTACGTGTATCATTTATTATGTGTGCTTAAATTCTATCATATACAGAGATTATTTTATTTTAAGTGGACGCGGAGTCTTTGTTTTATCAGCAGGCCACCGTCTGTGTTTTTTTTTTATGCGAAATGTTGTCAAACGAGCAGTCGGTTCACCTGATGTTAAGTGAATACCGCCACCCATATACATCTGCCACACCCGAGGGTTACAGATGCGTTGTCAACCTTTTGAAAATTGGGCTCCGGCTACCTCACTCACCAGACGAAACGCGAAAGTATTTGTCATACTTCCACTTTACGCTGGTCTTCTGTGAGGTCGTGGTACTTACCCGGACGGGCCTGCCCATTCGTGCAACAGCCGAGGCTGCTGCTTGGCTCTACCACCGTAAATATGTGTCCTTTTTTATTAGGGTCATACAATATTTCGCCTATTCTGTGATTACTGTATTTTCTATTTACTGAATATTACATAAGCGGGTCGCGTTTGTAACATTTGTTATCGAATTACTAAAGCATGCAACACGTGTCAAAACTGGAAGGAAATGAGTTTGACATGAACCCCGGCGCACGTAACGCGTGTCCCGATTTCCGTAATTCCGCCATTTAAATTATTTAAAATATTCGCTGTGAGCAACTGCCCGTAGTGCCGATATTAATTTTAATGTAAAATATACCAACATCAGAACAAAGCTCTGTTGAAATGAAAGCAACAAAGTGTACGTATCTTTGTAAAGCAATGCTGTTGAAATGTATGAAATCAGATTTATTTATTTTTGATATCACTCTTTTACGATAGTATGGTAGTACAATATCTTCATTCTATATAAAAAAAAAAAAAAAACATTCAGACATTGCGTCGGAGAAATATACTAAAGAAACACAAGTAATCGTGCTTGCATTTAAAGTACCGTGAATGTGTATCGGCTAACTTATCTGAAGACTGGTTTGAAAATAAGTGTTTGATGCACTAATGGTCTAGAGATTGACATCCAAAATCACTTTCATTTTTGTTTACCTTAAAGTTGAATTTTAGACATCACTTATTGAACCTACTAAAGTAAAGGTAGGTAGCAATACTTACCTCTCGTTAGTCTACTAAGTTAAACCTATTTTCGTATCTCACCAGACTAAATAATCACGCTTTATATTACATACCAAAGCTTCCTTGGATACATTTATTCACATTTACTCATTATTGGCGTTGAAACAACATTTGGGAGTTAGAGTAGTGTAGCGGGTTCGAATACCGGTAACGTGCCCAACGAACAGCCGCGACCGTTTTCAGGATTCGTTTGGCTGCAGCATTAAAACATGTAATTTATGGCTATTTTCTATAGCTCTTTATATGATTGTAGAGTTTATAATTATCCCTTGTTTACGGTCTTTGAGTTTCAGTTTGTTTGAGTTCACTGCTGAACAATCCTTGAAGAACAATCCCGAGCCACCTGCACATTTGCACAGGTCGTCACTCCATCTAGGTTACGGTTGCTTGCAGTAATACATGTGTATATTTAGTTTATTTAACTTACAGCAGTTCCGAAGTGTTGTT